ATCTTGTGTTATCATTGCAGGCATCAGTACCTGGCCCAGGAAGGGTGACTAGGTCCTTAGAATGCTTTGCAACAATTCCTAAGTGAAGAGAGAGGCTCCCAAGAGTTTGGTGCATAGGCCAGTGGTTTGAATGGGAATTGTCTCCCATACTCTGTGTCTCAGTGGTTAATCTAGTGATTAACCAGCTGCTGGCTCTGTTTGGGATGGTTAGGAAACGTTTAGGAAGTGGAAAGCTGCTGACAGAAGTATGGCATTAAGTTTGCTGGGGCGGGGGGGGTTTAAGGTTCTACATCCCTGGACCACTTCCTATTCTCTGTCTACTTCCTGTCTTAGGATGCAGTGTGGCCAGCCAGCCTCCTGCTCCTGACACTACACCTTCCTCACTAGGCTGAATTCTATCCCTTTCCACAGTTAAGTGGGAATGCACTCATTGTATAGCCAAGGATAACCCTAAACTTCTGACCCTTTTGCATTCATCTCCCTCATACTGAGACTACAGATGTGTAACCGCATCCACTTTATGGGGATACAAGGGATGGGACTTAGGGCTTTGTGCATGCTAGGCAAGAACTCTACCAGCTGAGCTACCAGTGTAAGGTGAGCTTCAACTCCCAAATAATTTATGTTGGATATAAAATTCTGTTCAACTGTAAAGATCTTATGTGGTAGTTTTATTTTGGAGTACAGTATGTTCTTATCCTTAATGTGATTTTATCTTTAACACCCAAAATAAAATGGTCAGCGTTTTTTTTTTCTACTCAATGAATATCGGTGGCTTCCCCAAACTACATTAGCATCCAGCAACTTTCCTGTTGCTTCCAGTAGTAATCTAGACATTGGGTTGTGAGCCTGGAGTTCACAACCCTTTGGCCTGCAGTACCTACCTAGCTGTCCTGACGTAGGTCTTCCCATGCTGCCCTGCATCTGAGGCTTTCTCTAGTTATCTCCCCCCTTAGACCTAGAGGGTTGGCTGCTTGTCTTCACTCATAGGGCTTTCATTATCCTCAGTAAAGCTCTCTGGTGTTAGAACACACATCAAGCTACTTTCCCCTTCCCTGGCTTGTCCCTCTTTTGCAGTGTCCCTCACCTGATTTCCCTGCTGACTAATGCTTAGAAACATAATCACGCAGATAATCCTGCAGGAAGGTAAGAACAGAGCACATGACAAAGGGAAGAATAAATAGTCAGTGATAGTTTGGCTAAATTGTTTTTTGGAGGTTTTTTTTTTGGTTAATGTAGGTATGTGTCCTGTGCATGCATGGGTACATGTGTTTTCACATGTATGTCAACATACATGCACATGTGTACACATGTGTGCATGCTTGTGGAGGTAAGAGGCTGATGCCACATGTCTTCATTGGTTGCTCTCCAGCTTGTGGTTTGAGGTGGGGCCTCTCTCTTGAAGCCAGTTGAACACACAAGTTTGGCTACTGTAGCTAGCCAGCATGCTCTGGGAATCCCCTGTGTCTTCTGCCTTCACAGCACCAACATTAGAGGCAGGCTGTGACACCATGCCCAGCATGTATGTGGGTGCTGGGGACCTGAGCTCTGCTCCTCACTCCTGTGCAGCAGCAGTTACTTTACGTGCTGAGCCATCTCTCAGCCCCCTGTATGGCAGTGTGTTTTCATGTAAATTTCTGTTCAGTTCTATAGTGTTTGCACATGGATAATGCCCTAGCTTTGGATTCTTACTTAGCAAGTCCAGCGGGCTAGCGAAGGTGCCTTTCTAAGCAGAATAATATTTGGTCAGTTTACCCCCCTCACACTCTCTGCTCATGTTTCCCAGCCAGAGCATGAGTGAAGTGATTGTGGTGTGTGCCTGTGAATACCTAGACACAGCTGAGTGGAAATAATCCTGACCTAGAAGGAAAATCTGTGCTGGAGAGATGGCTCAGTGCACTTGCCACATGATCGTGAGGGCCCGAGCTCACTCCCCAGAAACCACGTTAATCTGGACTCAGTCTCTAATGCCAGTGTTCCAGCAGCAAGGTTAGAGATGGAGACAGAGTCCCCAGAAACTCAGGAACCAGCTAGTCTCGAATTACACAGCAGTGGATGAGAGACCTTGTTTCAGTGGAGACACAAGCTGAATCCTGACACCTGGGGTTGCCCTCTGACCTCCACTCACCATGCTTGGTGTGTAAGTGTTCACACACACAGAGTCACACTCACACACATACACACCCCAAAGGAAAAAGCCTTATGGTAGAGATTCATGGTGCCTTAAACAGAAATGGTTTACTGAATTTGCATTTGCTTCCTCATTGAACTAGGGAATCTTTCTCATCTCTCTAGACTGTAGTTTTAGGAATCAGGAAAAGCAGAGGGTCAGCATGTATGCTTGTGGGAAATCTCCTGTAAAGTGTGAGGCAGATGATGCTTCCAGCTCTTTAAGCCAAAATCCAGAAAAACCAATGAAACACAAAACATGCTTTCCAAAGTGGTATAGAGGTTGGTGGATGCTATTTGGGGAAAAAAAATACAAAAAAACAAAACAAAAAAACAAACAAAAAACCCATGTCACTGGAATTGTATAGGAGAATTAAGCTGGTCTTACAAATGCACCCTGCTTTCTCTCACTGTGGTTCTATATTTCACACAGATATAGAATACCATGTATGTATATGTCTCCATATGAGATATGAAATAAAACTGCAGCAAGGGAGAAACAGGAGGACCAACCAGCAAGAAAAGTGAAGAGTGGTGAGCATGAGGGGAGTGTGCAGCATGCAATACATGAGTGAGAGCTTACTTAAATAATAAAAATAGCATCATTTCAAAAGGGAAGCTCTGCTTTTGGAGACTTTGGATTTGGGATATTCTGTTGGGAATGTACAACCATTCGTATGTTCAAGCCTATGAACATATGAAGAACTGTGAAGTCTGAAACAGGGGTCTCAAGCATCTCAAACAAGGGACACTCAACCTTCGTGTTCCCCAAAAGGCCACATCTTGTAGATTAGCTACACCTTGGCTTCTCTGGCCCATTGGGAAGCAGGCAACTTCCTGTGACTTTAAGATCTTCTGCCTAGAATATGTGGTGTACTGGTTGGTTGGTGCAATTCAACTTCACACAAACCTCTGCCTATCTGGGAAGAAAGATTTGAGGAAATGCCTCCATAAGATTGGCTCTTTGGATCACCTGTGGTCTATTATTCTTATTTAATGATGGACGTAGGTGGGGCCACCCCTGGGAAGGTGGTCCTGGGTTGTATAAGAAAGCAGCTGAGGCAAGTCCTGAGGGGCTAGCCAGTAAGCAATGTTCATTCGTGGTTCTGTTTCAGCTCCTTCCTCCAGGTTCCTGCCCTGCTTGAGTTCCAGCTTTGGCTTTCTTCAGTTGATGGGCTGGGAGCCAAATTTGGTTTTGATCACATTGTTTTATCAGAACCAACATAAAGTACTAAAACATCTGTCAGGGACCTAGTTGTAGAAATTCACTTTTTCCAAGTAGAGCATGAGTTGTATTGGATCATTTCTAGCAGGAGATGGTCTTTCACCTTGGCTAGTTCCCTCTGATTTACTCATTGGTTCTTATAGCTAAGCTGGCCGAGGGAAGTGCTTGCAAGAGCTCTATCTCCAGGTCAAATGTAGAGATTGCTGGCTTCAGGCTGGTGCCCAGCACTGGGCCAGTGGCAGAGCTTGTGTGCACTTACTCTGCAGGGGCCATCTGATAAGGTGGCCGCGTGTTCCTATCAGATATACGAGGAGAAACGGAGAAACGCTCCCTTGTTGTACATACAAAACAGTTGCTGGAGACCCTTTATCTTTTGAGAGGAAATGTGTGTGAGGTACCAGGGGCAGAGTGTCACCCTCCCTCCTGAAGATGCTTATCCTGGCTGTTGGCAACAGAGCTAAACAGGAAGATTTGACTCACTTTCCAGTGGGAGGACAGACAGATGGCCGTAGTTCCTGAAGTTTAGGGGCAGGGATTATAAGCTCACTTTTGTCTGTTCTTCCCACGGCTCCTTTAAAACCATGATGGGGAGATAGCCAGGTACCTTTAACCTATCAGATGCCATTCAGTTCTAAATAAAAGTCAAGGTGATTGGGTTCTTAGAATGAAGCTTTGCAGAGTCTGGAGATCATGGTGAAATGGTTACAGTGATTTGTCTAATCCTCACTATGTTAGGAAGCCATGTGTGTTGGCACATAATTGTAATCCCAGCATTTGGGAGGTTGAGGTAGGAAGAACCCTGAGGCTTGCTGGACAGCCAGCCTAGCCTATGTGGTGAGTTCCAGGTCAGTGAGAGACCATATCTCAAAAAAAAAATTAAACAAAAAACAAAACTATGGAATGTTCCTGAGGAATGACATGTGAGATGGTGTACTGGCCTCCCCTGCATGCACTTGTGTGCCCTCATATACAGGAACTCAAGCATATGTGGGGGAGAGGGGTGAGAAAGAAGGACTGTCATAGATGCTGACATACCTTTCTTTTTAAGGACTACTAAGATCCCAGAGAATCTCCTTGTTGGTGGCATGCCCTCTGTCATAGTTAGTGTTTCTATTGCTGTGAAGAGACACAATGACCACAGCAACTCTTAAAGGACATTTAAGCTGGGGCTGGCTTATAGTTTAGTCTATTATCATTGTAGTAGGAAGCATGGTGGCATGCAGACAGATGTGGTGCTGGAGAGATAGCTGAGAGTTCTACATCTGGCAGGCAGCAGAAACAGTGAGCTACTAGGCAGGCCTGGTTTGAGCTTCTGAAACCTCAGAGCCCACCCCAAGTGATGCTTCCTCCAACAAGACCGCACCTCCAATAATGCCACTCCCTGTGAGCCCATGGGGGCCATTTTCATTCAGACCACCACCCCCCTGACTCCCAGCAACAGCATTCTGCTACAGCTACAGCCATGCCTGTAGCTGGAGGGGATGCATGGACCAGAACCTTGCCTCCATGGAGACCTCTCTATTTCCGTTTATCCTTCAGCCTACGTGGACTGTGATGTTGGGCTTCTGTATTATGGTTCTCATGGTTTGTTTCCTATTCTTTGCAGATATCATTAATGGAGTTCAAGAGAAATGTGTATTGCCTCCTATGGATGGCTACCCCCACTGCGAGGGGAAAATCAAGGTAAAGTAGAAGTTATGTCTATTCATCCCAATACCCTCCGTCTTTTTCCCCTCCCAAAGATGCTGGTGGTCAACTGAGCCTTGAAGCAAATCTTTCCAGGGTATTTCTATCCTATTAGTGGTGGCCCTTCTCTGCCACTCCCATGGGGTACAGGTCAGCAGTGGCTTTCAGCACTCAGACTGAGAACCTGGACCACTTCTGGTGTCCACTCTGTCTTTCCCAGCCTTTCATCTCCAGGTGATCCTTCAAGTTCCACCTTAGTTAGAATTCCTCTTTCCTCCTAAATTCCCGAGTCCTGTTCCATGTCCAGATTATGATGTAAATGTGATATCTGCACACACAAATGAGTGCCCAGAGACATTTGGCCACCCGTTCTTAACTGTGCATTCCCACTGATGATCAAACCCAAGGTCTCCAGAACACTTGGCAAGCGCTCCATACTGAGCTGCAGCCTGGCCTCTTGTATATGATCTGTGCAGATGAACATGTATGTGCATGTAGGTATGGAGGCCAGAGGACAACCCCGTGTGTCATTCCTTGGGCACCATCCAGCTTTCTCTTGAGACAGGGTCTCTCACTGGCCTAAAGCTCATCCAGTAGGCTGGCCTGGCTGTTCCCAGAGCTGCTATTCCCAGTACATACCTGGATTCCTGACCTTTTCTTGTTTTGTCTTAAATTATTTTGAGAAAACTAAATTGTATTTGTTTGGCCTGTTCCTGGAAACCACTACTGGCCAGTGGTGTTCAGAGAAAAGTTGTCATTCAAGTAATCCTTGTTAAGAATAGCGAGAACCTCCTAGGAACTTCCCTGATGTCCTTTGGGGACAGCTGTAAGCCTCATTGACACTTCTGTGCTATTTGGCCTGAGCTCTGCACTGCAGGCTCTGTGCTGTGGCTGTGGAACCTCCTGAGGGTGTTGAATAGCAGGGCCGCTGTGGTCTGGCCTCCACTGCGTCTGTTTACACTGAGCTGCTCTGCTCTGCTCTGGCTAGCATCTGCAACTCTCCAGGAGCTGAACATCTAGTCACCTGGCCCTCAGCTTAGGAACCTTTGGCTCTGCTCTACCCATGAGCCTCCACGTGAGTCACTCACTCCACTGAGCCTTTTGCCCCCTCCCCTCTCCTCAGCCTTGTCCTCTCCTCTCATTTCAGTGGATGAAGGACATGTGGCGCTCGGACCCCTGCTACGCAGACTACGGAGTGGACGGGACCTCCTGCTCCTTTTTTATTTACCTCAGTGAGGTGAGTCTTTCTGAGGACTTGTGCGTCTGCACTGAGGCTCTGTTGTAACTGAGCCTGGAGTTGGAGAAGCTAAAAAAGATGAAGGAGCAGCGACTGCATTCGTTTCCTCCTGACTCCTTCCCATAAAGAAAGAACAGGCTTGGATTCACTGTTTTGTTTGCTTTAACTTCACATTTCAGCAAAATACACAGACTGCAGGACTTTCAATCTTCACCAGGTTTTTTTTTTTTTTAGTTTGGTTTCTTTATTCCTTTTGTAAAATTTTAATTTATTTAGTGTGTGCATACGTGCACAGGGCCTATGGCACACAAGTAGAGTATAAAGGACAACTTGTGGGGTTCTCTTTCTGATGTGGGTCCCAAGCACATTTAGGTCATCTGTCTTGGTGACAGTCACCTTTACCCCAAGCTATCTTGCCAGCCCTTCCCTTGGGAACAAATCATTAGTTATCTTTAGATCCACCAAGTAGTGGGCCCAGACTGAGAAAACAAGCCTGCCTGGTGCATAGTCCACAGAGTACTCAGCCTGGGGAGGAAGACACTGGGTCCACAAGGCTGAAAACACACTGCCAGAATCTTTTTTAAGTCTTTCCCAAGTGCTCACGAAGACATGCTGCCTTCTAGTTTGGGAATGGTGACCGTCTTAATGAGCCTGAAGTTAGGACTCATTGTTTTGTTTTGTGTTTCTCTTGTGACGAGCCATGGTAGGCCGCTCTCCCTGGGCTGTTAGCTGCCATGTGTACTCTTAGGGACTAAGTTACCTCCTGTCACCATCCTTATTATTTTCTCTCTGAAATCAGATTTTCATTTGTTTATGTACATTTACAATGCAGGTCTTTTAAAGGCCACAGAACATTTAACAGACCCCATGGGTCCCTGGCTCAGGTGACTTCTGGTTCTCCTTTGGAAAGAGTGCTTGTCTAGCCTACACAAAACCCAGAGTTTCATCCCCAGAACTGCCTAAACTGGGCATAGTGGCGTAAACCTAAAGTCCTAATAACTAGGGAGATTGGAGGAGGAATGTCAGAAGTTCAGGCTATCCTTGGCTACATAGTAAGTTGGAGGAAAGCCTGAGATACATGAGACTTGTCTCAAAAGACAAATAAAACGGGTTTAAAAAGTATAGTTTGTTAGCTGCAGGGGAAGAACCTAATAGGGAGTTAGAAGCTACCTGTACCATCTCCTCTGGACCAGACATCCCTGGGGCCTACATAGGTGCTGGGCAGCCTTGGCTGGGTCTATCATTTCTTTCATTATTCTGCCCCATGGTGACAGCCCCTTGGTGATGCCCTATAGAATATCTCCATTTTTTTAGGCTGAATTAAATGCTCTTGCCATGGTTTTCCTTATGCAGTCTGGGTGCCTCTCTTTTCTGTACCATAAAGTGACTAGCATGTCTTATTTGGATGACCAAACCTAAGTCACCAGTACTGTAAGGCACATGCACCGTCTCCCACGTCCACATTCTCTCTGTGCCATAGCTAGCATTGACTGTCAAGGTGACACAACCTAGAATCATGACAGACCTCTGGGAGTGTCTGTAAGGGAGTTTGTAGGTTGGGTGAATTGAGGTGAGAAGACCCCCCTCCTAACTGTGATGCAGTGCATCCTGGTGCTCCTGCCTCAGTGGACTGTACCCTCAAACTCTGAACCCAAGTAAATGCTGTTCTTCATTAAGTTGCTTTTGTAAGGCATTTTGTTACAAAGGTAAGTAGCTAGCACACCTACTTCCTTCATTATATCATGGTCAGCCCTCATATCCCTCAGCACTGGGCTTTGATCCCACGACCCTACCACTGAGGACCTACATTTTCTTTGACAGGTTTGTTCCCTGGAAATCAGGGGAATCCCTGCACCAATGACAGTAAAATACCTTCTAGAAATTAGAAGTACGGGCTAGCCTGGGTGTTTCTGGTTAGCTCAGGCTAGCCTGGGAGTTCCTCCTCAGCTGCTGACATTCTGATTTTGCATTTGTTTGAGCCTGTCCCTGATTGCTGGCTTCTGCAGCCTTCTCATTTCCTTCTGCAAGGAGAATCAGGCTGTGGGTGACCTTCACCCCATAGAGAACTCAATTAGAAGTACCTCTCCTGCCCCGAGGGAAAGACTCTTCACCCAGTTTAATTTTGCAGTTTCCTTTGAAAATCCCTTCCCTGGCATGGAAGAAGCCAGAATCTGGCCATTGGTCCTGATTGACAACCATGGCTCATTTGTGGATTTGGGAGGGCTAAGGAGATGAAGAATGTCATGTTCTGCCTGAGTTTCCCTGCCTCTTCTCCAGATCCTGGACCAAAACTAGGAAGATGTGGAGAAGTAATGTAGTGGACTGAAGGGCAAGGACATGGCTTATGATAGGTTCATTCCGTTTAAAATTGCTACCCTATGATATGTAGAGGAGCTAAGGTGGGAGGAGTCAGAAGAGGAAGAGAAGGAATAAGGAGGAGGAGAAGGAGAGGAGGAGCTAGGAGATGAGAGAGAGGGGGAGGGGAATATGGAGGCAGATGTTCGTGCATCTCTGTCAGTCAAAGATAGCTGATATATCTAGGTTAGGTATTGGGTTACACTTCTGATTGTATGGATATCTTGTTATTGAACATTACCAAACTTATAAAGCCTTTGATTAACATTAAAAGAAAAAGTTACTAATAAAAAAAAAACACTTAAAATTGCTACCCTAACCATGCTCTAGTGGAGGAAGGGTAGATGCTCAAGAGAGAGGAAAGTGGGGGTCTGAGGGACAGGCAGACCTAGCGCACTGGTCTGTCTAGAGACCGTGGTTTCATAGGCCCAGACTTATTCTCTTCCTGAGGTGCAGTTAGGCTTCAGTAGTCTTGGCATAAGACCAGTTTCTTGCTTCTTCTCATTAGCAGATTCAGTTCAGTGAGTGCTTACTGGCCTCTGTTGTAGTCACTGGGTTGTCGGCATCTACTGAGAGCTCATTTTCTTGTCACTGCTCCAGGCATCCTGTATCTTAAAAGTCTAATAGGAAAAAGAAGAGAGAGATTCAGATGGGAGAGGAAGAAAAGAGGGGTATAAATAACCACAAACCAGGAGAGATGGCTCCACTTGTGACATCTGGGAACCCGGTGGTAGTTAACACTGGTCGTCAGCTTGACAGGGTCTAGAATCACCTAGAAGACGAGGCACTGAACATGTCTGTAAGGAAATGTATCGAATGGGCTAAGGAGGAAAGATGTAACTTAAATGTGGTCCCATGGGCTGGAGAGACAGACTGAATAAACAGAAGAAAGTGAGCCGAGCGAGCACCATCATCCCTCTCCTTCTGCTTCCTGGATGTTGATGCCATGTGACTATCTGGCACCGTGCATTCCTAGCATGCACTGTGTCCTCAAAACTCTGAGCCAAAATGAACCCTTCCTTTAAGTTGCTTTTGTCAGGGTTTGTATTAGAGTAGTTATCAAAATAAGTAATATGGAACTTTATTATTATCAGGCTCTAAAAATGACTCTGAAAAGGGCCTATTGTATCATCCCACACTCAGGGACAGCTGCAGGACAGATGGTTACTCCTGAAAAGTCCAGGCCTAGGAACATCATATTTGCTCTTTCACCATTTCTCAATCTCTGTGACACAATGTGTTTCCTCAAGTTCTTCTGGTTGTAGTTCTCTTTGTTTTTAAAAACATCTGCCTCCCATTGAAATGGCGTGGGGACGCCCAGATTCACATCAGAATGTCCTTGGAGAGGGCCTGGCAGACAGAGGATGCTCAGTAAACATAGGTGACATATTTTATGTTTTCACATTATCCTTAATTCGAGGACATTCTGGATGGGCTTGCTGTTCTGTTTTAGATTAGTGAGTCAAGTCACCAGTCTAATAAGATAAGAATCTGTTATAACTTCTAGTCATGTAGAAACTGGACTCTTCCTTGATACTGGGGTTGGTTGGTTGGTTGGTTGGTATTTTGTTTTGTTTTGTGCCAGAGATTGGGGGCAGGGTGTTCAGTTGAAGGCCATACATCTCCTCTCATGACCATCCACGTTACTTTTTAAACACAGTCTCACTAAGTCTAGAACTCAGCAATTAGGCTACACTTTCTGGCCAGTGACCCCCAGGGATCTCCCCATTTCCACCTCAGTGCTGGGGTTACAGGTATACACCATCGCTTCCAGCTTTTTTGTTTTTTAATGTGCTGTGGCTTAGAACTCATATCCACATGGTTATGTGGAAACACTGAGCCATCTCTCCAGTCCTATGGCTGCCTTTTTAACTGCTAAGGACTGTATGTGTGCTTTGTAGCATGGCATTTTGATAAGCATGTGCATTGTGGAATGCCTAAGGATGCCAACGAATACACATTACTCTATATTCTTTGCATGAGTGTGAGGACCACACTTGCCCATGACTGCTAGTCTCCATGTGGGATGTTGCATTTGTGTTGTTAGGAGCTGATACACAGAACCAGTTATGTGAAATTAATTGAGACCAGTCCTCAAAGTCAGTTCCTTTCCTTGTAGTATTAAACTCCTGGGCAAGGGTCTGGAGAGATGACTTAGCATTAAAAATGCTTGCTGCTCTTATAGAAGACCTGAGTTTGGTTCCCAGCACCCATGTCAGACTAATGACAGTCTTTAACTAGCTTCAGGGTGGTCTCATGCCCTCTTTTGGCCTCTGTGGGCACCTTCATGTAAGTATTTCTCTCTCTCTGTCTCTCTCTCTCTCTCTCTCTCTCTCTCTCTCTCTCTCTGACACACACACACACACACACACACACACACACACACACACACACACACAATGCTGAGGGATACAGCTGTTTGGGCCTGTTTGTTAGTCTAGGTTTTTTGTTTTTCTCTTTTTCTTTTTTTCTGTCTTATAACGCTCCTATTTTGTTGAACTCTGAGACCTGTTTCCTTTCATTATCACACACCAGGTTTCTCTTGAAGTTGGCAAAATGAGAAAGCCATCTTAGCTTGACCTACTCTGTAAACACAATCAATAGGTATACAGGCACTGCTGTTGCATTTGCAGTCTTTATGGGAA